TTTCAGCTTCAGCATCAGTCCCTCCAATGAACACCCAGGACTGATCTCCTTTAGGATGGGCTGGTTGGATCTCCCTGCAGTCCAAGGGACTTTCAAGAGTCTTCTCCAACACCACAGTTCAAAAGCATCAATTCTTTGGTGCTCAGCTTTCTTCACAGTCCAACTCTCTCATCCATACATGACCACTGAAAAAAACATAGCCTTGACCAGATGGACCTTTGTTGGCAAAGTAATGTCTCTGCTTTTTAATATGCTATCTAGGTTGGTCATAACTTTCCTTCCAAGGAGTAAGCGTCTTTTAATTTCATGGCTGCAGTCACCATCTGCAGTGATTTTGGAACCCCCCAAAATAAAGTCTGACACTGTTTCCACTGTCTCCCCATCTATTTCCCATGAGATGATGGGACCAGATTCCATGATCTTAGTTTTCTGAATGTTAAGCTTTAAGCCAACTTTTTCACTCTCCTCTTTCACTTTCATCAAGAGGCTTTTTAGTTCCTCTTTACTCTCTGCCATAAGGGTGGTGTCATCTGCATATCTGAGGTTATTGATATTTCTCCCAGCAATCTTGATTCCAGCTTGTGCTTCTTCCAGAACAGCGTTTCTCATGATGTACCCTGCATATAAGTTAAATAAGCAGGGTGACAATATACAGCCTTGACGTACTCCTTTTCCTATCTGGAACCACTTTCTGTCATTTACCTAACAGTGCTAGCAGCCTGCCCAAAGTGTTTATCCCACAGCCTACTAAAAGTAGTTACTCTATAACCTACTAGAAAATAACTACAGTACTTGATATCAACTCCATTGGGGCAGGCGTTTTTATCCATTTTTTCCACTTCTGTATATTCTATTTTTTGAAGTGGAAGTGAAAGTCACTCAGTAATGTCCGACTCTTTGGAACCCCATGGACTATACAGTCCATGGAATTCTCCAGGCCAGAATTCTGAAGTCAGTAGCCGTTCCCTTCTCCAGGGGATCTTCCCAATCCAAGGATTGAACCCAGTTCTCCTGCATTGCAGGCAGATTCTTTACCAGCTCAGCCACAAGGGAAGCCAAATTTTCTATACATAGAACAACACCTGGCATTCAATATATGTTTATAGAGTAAATAAATTGGATGAATGGTGGAAAAAAAGAATCTATCTTTAGGTCACCTCCTCTGATTTCCTGGGCTCTGTACACAATCCATGCCACCTGCCTTCCTGGCTTTCTTTTATACATAAGGGCTTCCTTCCAACGTGGTATTCCCAGGGGCACAGAGGGGCCTCTTTCAACCCAATCTTTCAAGGCTTCTTTAACTGTTTTAGCCCTCCTACGGCTGGATGGAGGATGAGTAGTTTGCAAACTTACCAGAGACTGTCTTTACTTTAAATAGCAAACCTTTGTTAGCAACAAAAGTTAGTTGCAAGAAGGGTCTACAAGGAACAATAAGTTAGTCAACTGACCAACTCAAATACAAAAGAACCCTCACATGTGTAGCTGAAATCTTCCTACTATTAACTGACAAATAATAGTGTTTTGATGGGCATTTATTTTTATTGGCTAGTAAACTATAATGCAGTGTGAACTTAATATCTCTACAGCATTTGTAACTTCCCATGTTATCCCAGTGGGCGATAGTAAAATGTGGATTAGTCAATATAGTGAGAGGACCTGGTGCTGGAAAACCTATATTCAAATTGTGTTGGTGACTGGTCCTTCGTCAGCCTAAGAGAGTAGCATCGAGTTCTAGTCTTGGTCCTTAATGGGTTTAACCAATAACTTTACCTCTATTCTTACTGAAGGTCCTGGTTGGAGGTCCAATCTAGACCTTCTAGGGTCACTCTGGGCTAAAAGTAAATTAGAATCACAATGAAAGGGTGAAATTCAGAGTTTGACAATTTCCCCAAATACCTGTCCCAATAAGATGGCTGCTTTTCTGGCTCATATGATTTCTCTAAAGTAGATGAACATTCTATAGACTTATATGTTGCATTCCTAAGCCAGTCTCTTATAGTCCACATTGTCTGTTTATTTTTCCTCTACATCTCTCAGAAATACTTGACTAGCCTCTCATAATAGGAAATGGAAACAGTTCCAATTGTGAGAAGTCTTCCATATTAACAATTCTCTACTTTCCCCTCTGCAACTTTCACCCAACTCCTGGCTTTGTGCTCTAAATCCACACAAAGAAAGCTGATCTCTTTTTCTCTCAAAAGTTCACTAAACAAGTCAGGTACTTCTTGTGGCCCTTCCCATCCCTCCCCTCTCTCTTATCTGAGTCTACTAAATCTTAGGACTCATAAGGTAATTCAGAGAAGAAAGTAAGGATGAAACATAGGACACTAGTGGTCCAAATTTTTAAATTAGATGTGATGTCAATTTCTAGGTATAGGGGGCTCATTTAAGAAATTCATACACCACCACAGATGCCAGCACATACCACAAACACCAAATTATACCACAGATGCCAAAACAAAAGTAATGTTTACCTAATAGAGGTGTCAAAATCATCTGTTCAAACTATTCTTGGAATCACAAAATTTTAAAGCTATTCATTTCACCCATTCATTTCACAGATGATAAAACTGAGATCCAAAAGAGTTATGTAAATAGCCCAAGGTAGATGGGGAGCAATATTCAAAGTATTGCAGGCCCTTTTGGCCATCTCCCAAACAACAAATTATGATCCTACAACGTACTGAATGTCATTTTCTCCAAACTCTTCATGTCTTAATAATGGCAGCTCATTAACTTCCTAGGAAGCTAAATTTACATTGCTATTAGTACAAAAATGACAGATTTCAGAACTAGAAAAAAATCCCCTAAAGGATATTGAGCCTTCTTACAAGGAACAAGAAAACTGATGACCAAGGAGGCCTGGATTTGTTGGAGGAAACGCTGAGATTTAGTGGTACGGGCAAAAATGGTGCCCAGGTCTTCTGATGACAACCTAGAACTTTTTAGTATTCCACACAAAGAATTAGCTAAACACCATCAATATTACAAAGCTGAGATCATTTTAATCTAAACTTGTGTTTATGATGAGAAAACTGTAATTCTTTAACTAGTACACAAGTTCCATCTCATGGAAGTGGCTAGGCTGGACAACCATGTCAGAAAGATGTAGAAGGGAGTTCAAGTAATAGGTGGGAGGTTGGACTGACGTCTAAAGTCCCTTCAGCCTCTAGGATTATTGGATTCTGAATTTCCCTGGAGCTGAACACCTCAGCTAGGCAGGGCGGATGAAGAGGTGGGGAATGTGCAGGTGTCCTCTGGGGCATCCTCTCCTGCCCTTGGATTGAATGAACTCTATCCTGCTGTTTCAGGCATTATTCCGTATCCAATTTACATGCAATCAAATACTCTAGGCATAGGAAGAGTGTAAGGAAATGAGCTAGGTTGTTCATTCCCAAAGACAGACTACACTGCTTAGCTTTCAAAACTGCCTTGCCTAAATGAGCATTCCATAACTGAGCCTCCACTTTGAGCTTTTACAGTTTGTTCATGTACTATGCTACTATCAGCATTAATTATGCAGCATCTTCATGAGGAGAAACCAGATTTGGATGTGAGGTAGGAGAGGAAAGAATAAAGCACAGTTTCCAAAAGAAGGTTATTGTATCTGCTCCCTGCTCCCCAAAGCACTGGAGTCCTTCCACCACAGACAGATTTCAGATGGCAGTCCCCAGCTGAGCTAGCCATGGGAAGGAGGAAGTTGACATGTTTGAGAAATGAGGAATACGCCAACTAACAAGACTCTGAGGCCAATATGTTATTAACTCCCTCATTTCTATGTAATTCCATTCCAAACCAGAATTCAACACAAATCTGCTTCTTTGCTTTCTGAATGGCTACTAAAAATTTATATGTACTGATTTTAGACATCTTCTCTTTTCTTTTGCAATAATGAGTTCAAGGGAAGAACGAAGGTTTGTTTTTTGGTGTGTTTTTTTTTTTCATCTCAGAGAAAAAGAATTTATCATAGGGGTCAAGCTCTGACAGCTCCAAGAAAGCTTCAGCAATAGGACTGTCACACTGAATGAAATTACAAAAAAAAAATAAATTCAAAGGATCCAACACGCATGGGAGCCAGGTATCGCCTAGACTTCAGAAGAGCAACTGATGTTCTACAACTCAGTGTCAAACAAGAAAACAACAACAAAACAGCCTAACGAGGTATCAAAATCTCAGAGAGTGATTCTGTACAGACTCCGTGTGCAAATACAAAAGCTCTACTTTAAAAGGCTTGGGCAGGTTTTCCACTCTGCTTGCCCTGAACTGAGTATGGTGTGCCCAGTCATCAGGAGGAAGGCTGCAAAACAGTGGATGTCCTAGCTGCATTCAGCTGCCTCCACCAGGCATTACTGTCGTCTGAGGGCTAACCCAAAGCAAACCCGCACTTCGACGTTTAGACGAAGGCTCCTCCGGCCTCCTGAGCTCCCCATTAGCCTGTCAGGCTGACACGACCACATCAGTCCCGTCTGCTACCAACATTAAAGCAGTACAAGAATAAAGCCCTTTCCTCCTCTCCTGAGATTTGCACCACGTTTCTTCCAAACGTATTTCTAAAAGGAAAGCACAACTTGAGGGAAGGAGCCCAACTGGGCAAGGTCGGGTCTTTTGGACGGTTCCCTTCCTCGCCAGCGGCAATCGACACGGCATTCCAAGTCGGGAAGGTGTACGAAGAGAGCGAAGGATGAGAGAGGAGAGGAGAAGAGGGGGTGGAAGGAGGTCGAGGAAGGAAAGGAGACAGGCGAAGGGCTGAAGGGACTTGAGAGAAGAGGGGGAAAGGAAGGGGATGAAGAGGAAAGAAGAGTCGGAGAAAGAAGAGCGAGAGAGAAGGGAGGGACGGGAGAAAGAAAGGGAGAGGGATAAAGAAAGGAGGCGGCAGGGAAGACGAAAGAGTGTGCCGGGGACGCGGCGGGGAGGCGGCCGTGGGGACCGGCGCCCCTGGGGAGCCACGAGCTGCGCTCCGCGAGCGGGCGCCTGGGGCGCAGGGCGCGCCTGGCGCTCACCTTTCAGGATGAGGGTGTCGATGTCCCGGTCGATGCCCAGGAAGTAGCACTTCCTCCAGAGGCCCGAGTAGGTGGCGAAGAGCGGCCGGCCGCACTCGGCGTCCAGCCCGCCGAGCCCCAGCAGCGAGCGCCAGGACTCGGGGTCGGCGCGCCCTGGGCCGCCCGGGAGCAGCCGGCGCCCCAGTGGGGGCGAGTCCCGCAGCGGCAGGTGCGACAGCGGCATCAGGCGGTTCTTCTGGTCCGGGGGGTCGGCACCCGCGCGGCTGCGCTCGCAGCTCTCCTTATGGCGCCGGGGGTCTGTCTCGTACCAGTGGTCGGTGAAGATGGCCGTGACCAGCAGCCCCAGGGAGCAGAGGCTGAGGCCGAGGCTGAGCGCCGTGACGAGCGCCCGCGGCTCCATGGCTGTTCCCCCCTCCGCCGGTGGGCCCGCGCGCCGCCAGACACAATGCACTTGGCCTCGCTCACTCCGCTGTCTCTCTCTCCCGCGCTCCCCCACCTGCCCCCTGCCGCCCGCGGCCTCCGGCTCCCGGCCCGGCGCGCTCCCTCCTCGGCTCCCTCCGACCGCGCGCCCGCCTCCTCCCGGGCCGCCGCTCCGCGCCACCCGGAGCCTCGAGCACTTTCTCGCTCCCCCCAACCCCGCTTCCACCGCCGCTCCCGCAGCCCCTTCCCCTCCCTCCTGGAGCCCCGCACGCTGCTCACCCCTAGCTGTCCACCGATCCTTCCGCCCTGCTCTCCCTCGATTCTTCTTCCCTTTCGAATCCCTCTCCTCGCAAACCCTCACTTTTCCCTTGTCTCCTCCTCGTTCCCCTTCACCCAGTCCCGACTTTGCCCCTACTTTTCTTCAACTCGTCCTCCCTCTTTTTCGTCCCTGTCTCCCCGCTCTCGTCCCTTTCTGTCCCTGCCCTGGACGCGATGCTTCTCCCCAGCTACCCAGGAGCGCTCAGCCGTCCTCTCCCCTCGACGACCTGAAAAGACATCCACCCACATCAGACTCAGTCTTGTCACTTGTCCAAGTTGATGTTGATCGGTGTCCCGTTTTGTAACCAGAAGCAAATCCCATCTGGGTCGGGCTGCGCGGTGATACTTAAACTCAGGAATCCCGATCTGGAGCCGGAGCCGAAGACCCTTTCTCCCTCCACCGAAGAACCCAGCCTCTCAGACCCCTGGGCGGCTCCATCACCCTGTCATGCCCCGCTTTCCCTCTCCCTCGCCCAGGGCAACCTCTCAGCGCTCTCTCAGCTCCAGACCCTCTTCTGAAAGAAAAGGCACCGAGTGTCACTAGAGCGATGGACCAGTGGTCAGAGACTTTTCTCCCACCCCAGCCTGCTCAGAAATGGACTTTTTCATTGGACCACCTCCATCTCCCGCTGGAATGACGGCCTCCTGGAATTTCTACAAGTGTATAGTGATCAATAAGCCCTTGCAATGGCACCTGGTCTGTGAGATGTAAAGTAATTAGCCTCCAACTAATAAAAATAAATGAAAAAAATTAAAAAAAAAGAAAGTCCTTAGTAATAAATCAAGGGGATGATTTTTTTATTTTTCCTCCTGTGCAACTTACATGGGCTGAGAGGGTCAACAGCGTAGCAATACTACACATTAAAGTCAACATCTCAGCTTGCTTCTGTTTTCTAGGGCACTCAGAGGTAGTAATTGAGAATCGCAGGCAGATTCACATTTTCTAAAATGAGGAAACCTTAGGACTCAGGGTCCTGAAAGAGTTAATCGCTGTGTTGTGTGGAATCTGATGATAGAGGAGCAATACCCTCCTGCCACTTAATGCCCAGGGGGCCACATCACAGACAGAAAACCATGCTGCGGGAGCCCAGGGATACCAACTCTTGTGTTCTTTTGCTATATTAATGATCAAAAGATGATGAGGCATTCATTAGACGCTAAATGTCATTACTCCACGATTTAATGGGACTTATTAATTAGTGCCCCACATCAGTTGGTATGAATATGATTTATATGTTTCCTCTGAAATGACATCTGTAAAGGTGGTATAAGAATCTTTCTGGGATTTATTTTCATTGCTGTTTGCACTCAGCATCTTCAGAGGGTATATTGCCCATGAAGACCGTGTACCTCCCTTCACAGATAGATCACTGGAGCAAATCTTTCAGTCATATTGGGCACCCCCTGCCTGTTTCTGCTGACCTGACAATATGAATTATTACTTGGATTTTCTTAACAAGATCTATGGTGAGCTTCAGTCTAATTAAGGAAGACAAAGAATTATAATTTTAGTGTTCCTCTCACCTATAAGCTTTTCCTTAACAGGAAACGCTAAGCTGATCAAAGGAGTCTTATCTGGATTTACACCAAAAAAATGATAAGACTTAGAAGCTTGCTTTTATTTATACTCTATAATATGTGTAAAATCCCCGATCTTTATGGATACACAGAATATCTTTCACTGTGAACCCACAGCTGATATCTGAAACTCACTCTAGTTGTCATATGCCCTTTTTATTTTTTGAAAATGCCTCTTGAGATCAAGATATTACAAATCTTGCAAGTCCCAAGGATAGTCAAACCTTAAGCAACTCTTCCCTCCCTTTACAAATCCTGATGTACTCCAACAAATAAATATTCTGCCACATTTCAGAGTCACCTGATTATCTTCACACAATAACCATGTCCCCAACTGGAGCCAACAGAAGGAAAACTCTTTCTCAGGCACTTCTGTTTAACTTAAAAGAAAATAGTGTTCTGCTTCATTTTCCTAGCCAGAACCCTTTGATCATACCCTTCTCCGAAAACAGCATTATCCTTGAAGTTCATTTATGTCTATGTTTAAGACCAGTCTCAGCATATAATCCAAAGGTTACTATGTGATGGATTACCCTTGACAGTATTTCATAAAAAATGTCACACATTACAAATATGGGCCAGCAGCATGTAATGAGAGCACTGCTTCTGCTGGTGCAGCATTAACAGCATCAGCGGGAATGTGACATATGATGTGTACACAGGTTTCGCTATAGTAACTGAGTATCGCTCCATCTATGTTCTTAAAATTTCTCTTTTGGATATTTCCAACAATGAACTATCATCCACTAGGCCCACTCTGCTGGGGAAGTGGGAAATATAAAGATGAATCGATGTTCCCCATCCTCTGGATGCTCCCAGACTAGTAGTGAGAGAGACACTTAGCTTTTTCTATGCCCTCTAGTATAGAAATCAGAACAAAGTGTGTGGTAATGTGGACAATGAAAAGACTAACTGCCTGGGGGAGTCAGGAAGGTTACTTAGAAGTAGTAACTTCTGAGTAAGTTCTCAAAGGATATGTTAAACTTTGCCAGGAGGACTATATCTGCATGAAAGATTTGGAGGCTTCCATATTTGAGGCCACTGTAAAAGAAGGATTTTTTTCTACATTTTTAAATCATAAAGTTGACATCTTCTAATTCCTGAACACAAGCTAAGTAGTTGCAGACCAGGAAAAGCCTACCCTACCCAGAAGCCTAAGCCAGAATACAGCCAATTTAGGAGAGCATTTAGCCTGGCAGGGAGTCAAAATGATGGGAGATCAAATATCCAACTGGAACACCACGGCATGTCTTGGCTGTGGCAGTGCTGTGCCCATAGTGCTTGCAAACTTAGCTTGTTCTTCACCTGTCTTAAATTTCCCTTTGCCATCTCCAGATTTGACATTACCAGTATCTCCCTTGTAGAATAACAGTATCCTAAAATGACAGGGACAGAGCTAGAGAATTTCCACCTGGGCATCTCACTGTGTTGTGGAACTCAGTACACTCAAAGGTCAGTTCTTATATTTCCCCTATGGCTCAACTGCCCCTCCTCACTTATGCCTCTTTCTGGTGTTGACAAATCAGGCGATATTTTAGAATTTTCTATCATACTCACTAAGTGGTAGGCATTCTTCTTTTGAAACAACTTTCTAGCCAATCTCTCCTCTACATTTCTACCTCTTGCTGTCAACTGTGCCTCATCATTCACATCTGGATTATCATTCCAGCTCCCTCCTTGGCTCCCATAATTCCAGAACATCTGGGTTCGTGGGCAGCTCTTCCTGAAGTTGTCCTGGACACTGTTGCCCAAATTATCTTCCTCCAGCATTGTCTTCATGACTTTCATTCTTCAGTGTCAAACTCTCCTTTCTAGGTTACAAAGAAACATCATCTCTATTACTCTAGAGCCTTCTTTGTTACTGTCAACATTCCCATAGCATTTAAATATACCAACTGATGTGTTGGCCATCTTTAAATATTTAGAAAACAAAACACTTTTGCCTTCTCACACTTATCATAATATCTAGGTGCTTTATGACATTCATTGCATTTTTCTATATAGTCAGGAAGTTCTTAAATTTTCTTACAAAAATGTACATACACACAGGGAGAGAGAGATACCCAATCATCACAGAGCTATGGCAATGATTTATTGACATACCCATGCTAAGTTAACCATGCTATAACCATGAATATTCTAAAAGGCCCTTCTGTCCCAGTGCTGAGACCAAAAGTAATATCTTTCCTCATTTCAAACGTTTCAGTTCCACAGATTTTAAACTGTGAAGTTTAACCAAAACCACACACTGGCTTTCATAATGAGTAGGGGTTTATTCTTGATACTATCAGACATTTTTCCAGCATTTAATGTAAAGATAGAGTCAATATGTTGTTGATTTACAATATGTCATTTCTGTAAATAATTGAGGTATCTTACATTAATGTCATCATTCTAAACTGTTCCCCTGTAACAATTTTATTTTAATTCAATATTTATTGAGCACCCCCAGTGTAAGTTATTTTGCTAGGTCGTACTGGATTATGCTGAAATGATGAAAAGCATGGCCTGTGCCCTCAGGGAGCTTTAGGTTAGTAGACGAGGAGGAAGAGAGAAACGCAAGAGGCTATAAAGAGAGATGCTTGGACTGAGTGCTATCACAGAGGTGCAAACAATATTCAACACAGACAAACAGGGAAATCTGGCACAGACAGATCCATTTTCAGTGGGAAGAATATGGTTAAGCCAAGTGGAATACATGCTATCTCAGAGAGGCCTTGGAGGAAACAGGGTATTTTCTGTATATGTGTCAGTTGAGCCCAGGGCAAAGCCAAAAGTAAATTTTAGAAGCAGCACCTACTATGCTGCTCCTCTCTACCTACGCCACACATGCGGTAATTCATCTCGCCATTTTGTCACTAACTGGAAGCCTGGAACCAGAAAATACCACAAAGCCCCAAAATAGATGGTGCCTGATAAATTTCTCATTTCACTGACACACCACGGAATGTCACCATTCTTTTTCACATTCCTGGATTAAGCTGTTTCCTTTTTAGAGCCTTTAAGCACATATGGTGGGGGGAAAAAAAAACACGTTCAAAGAAACCCATAACCATGTTAAGTCCCACTCAGAGTGTGATGTTT